ACCATCGTCAAACCAAAATGGGTGAAATCATCTCCGCTTACAGCGGAAAACAACCCGGAATTGGCAACGGCCAAAAAGCAACAAGCTTCCGAACCTATCTCTTCTACCCAACCGGAGGATAAAAACCCGGAAAAAGACATCGATCCAGCGACTAAAGTGATCAATGTCTCTGCAATAGCCGAGTAAACACACTCGCGCCAACAACCAGAACTACAAGATGGCTTGATAGGAAGCTCGCCTAAAGACGAGTTCAGCTATCCCCCTCTCTATAACTGGCGGGGGGGGGGGGGGGGGGGGGGGGGGGGGAGTGGGTGCGTATACGAGTATTCGTATACTCCCATATTTTTTAAAACAAAATATATTGGCTTTGTACCTATCGCAGACTTTAAATCGGTACAAAATCAGGTTAAAATCGCAACATGCAAAATGAAGGCCGACTAGTCATCGCATAGCCTTAAAACCAAAAGTAAACCTAGGTCTTGCCCTAAACCCAGCACACTGGTCTCTAATGTCTCAAGGCATGAATTGAGATCCTAAAGGCATGTCTCTTCGTCCACATCTAAACGCTCACAAAAATCAAAACATTCCGATACGAGCAAACAAATAGGATGATCTACCCAAAGAGTTAGATACGAGACGACAACTTGTATTCTTCCCTCTACACTTAAACCAAAAACTGATTTCCCTAGAGGCAGGGATTCAAAGCCACCAACGGCCAGTCCTGATAAAAACAAATGATTACACTACGATAGACAACAAAAAGATCAATCATCAAAGTTATAAAACCCAAACGCCGACAATTGGCCAGCGTTCGCCGACACTTGTCTGGGATTCCTGCGTAACCTCATTTGAGTCCGGCGACACAACAATGGGATCCCACTGCACCCACATTTGCACCTCGAGGTCAAGGAGCTCGGTTTTCTTCCTCTCTTTCCTGTCCAATTATGCCTTTTGTTTGGCATAATCCTTCTCGTATGAGTAGTTCGCGGATTGAGTAAGGTGTAACCCGGCAACCACACCTCGATACTCACGATAGTCGCAATGGCTCTTTTGCGCGTCCTTAATTCCCAAGTATTGGGTCGCAAATTATTAACTCAAACTTTCATATCCTCAGCAACCGCTATCTTTCCCTCTCTGCGGGCACGGAGAATCTGTTTCTCGGAAAGCTCTGTAACACCGGCGAGAATTGGCCTCGTGCTCCTCCCTCATGCAGGAGATCTCCCTTTTGGCCCATTCTTGAGCACAAAAAGAGTTAGCGTCGATCTCCACTTTGAAACAAGCAGCCTCTTTTTCCGCCGCCTTAGCTCTTGATTTGTCGCTACGAATCTCCGCGTTACTCGCGCTCATAGCCTCGTCCATAAAACGAAGACCCTACAAACAATTCTATTATAATCTGATCACACGCAATAGTAATCGAAAGAATCGACAAAGGATAACAAACATTGTTAACGAGGCTTGATGCTTTCGCAAACGCGTCTCAGATTGTCCAGCATCAGACTGAGGAATCGAGAAATCAATGTAGTCCAGAATATCAATTTCTGCATCTTTTTCCTGCGAGATCTTGACCTCTCCCTCGGAACGTTGTCCGTTTCTGGCTCCGACTCAACTTCAATAGGCTCGCTCTGCTGAAGACGAGAAAGGTGGAAGGCAACGGCGCAACGAATTCTTTTCGGAGAGAAATGTCCCCAATAAAACGTACCACCAAGGAGAAGACTCTTGACTTGTTCAAGATCTTTAGGTTTCGGAGTAGCAAGACCGGACGCTGCAAAACACAAACCGGACAAGAAGTTAAAATTAAAAATGTACTGAAAAAACGTACAATCTAAATACCTCTTTCTCCCCATTCACTCCTGAATATGGGGATGCAGCTCTCCTCCACCGAGGCATTATCAATTCGAACATAGAAGAAAAACTCCTCCCAGTTGTGATCATTCGAGGAAAACTTCTCGATGATCGACATCTTAGCCCGCGGAGATATATAATAATAACCATTGCTCGCACGCTTGAACGACAGCATAGTTTCGATATAATCTGCACTAACGGCCATACCACGCTCGTAACCCAACACCAAAATCCCGACAAGATGCTGTAATCCGGAGGTGCAAAGTTGGCTGATTGAAAGTCCGAACCGATCCAAGAATTCAACTATCACCCACGGAATGGGAAACCACAGTTGGCAACCGAGCAGAAAAGCCTAGTAGCACGTAAAGTAGCCCGGAGGCGGATGCTTGGCATCTTGACCACATTCAGGAAGGCGAAACTACACCGAATCCGAGATCATACGAGATCTCCGCATAACATCGAGGGAACGAGCGGTACTCTGGCTCGGACCATTTTTCTTTTCATTGATCTAAGCCTCGAAGGAACCCATAAGTTAGCTTTGGGGGCCTCAGCAACACACACAGCTTCCAAATACCTCTTGACCTCGTTTTTATCAGCGGTAAATCTTAAAAATATCGGTGCGGGAAGTACATTACCACTGGTACACTCAAGATCGCTTGGATCAAAAATGGACGGATGAGCACATTCTGAGATTCTCCATTTCGTAGACATGGTTAGAAAGCAAGTATGGAAAGATTTAAGAAGAGAAAGAAAGGGAGAGAGATTTTCTTTGCCTTAGGAAAACATTTTGTGGAAAGAAGTGACTAAAGAATTTGAAAACTTACTCCACATATTTATAAGCAAGTTTATACTATTCACCTTCGTACTTTTGGTCGTTGAAGTTCTAACTAATTCTACCAAACTTTCCAAACAAGTTCAAACCGCTCACAGGAACTCTACGATCCTTACGAGCTGGGGGGCTAACTGTTGGGGTCAAAATCGGTTATGACAGAATCAACGACCAAAACTTTCCGCAAGGTAAAGAATAGGTTTTAAGAAATATGAAAAATATTCGAGGAGAAATCTAAAGATTTCCCGAACAAAGGAATTCCGTAAACTTAACAATCGTCATCTTGGAAATCATCGGAAAATTGAATAAAACAATATGTGATTGTCCAAATTGGCAAAATACGGCTGTAACGTCTAAACTCCCTGAAACGGTAAAGCCATTATTAAGGTCGAAAACGTTAACCTCGAGATCAAAAACTATGATTTTTTCTCCTTAAATTCACGAGAGGATCTCGGATCGAGAAACGATTGAAACCGAACGACCAACCAGCTCGCCAACAGGCGAGCTGGTTGTACTTGAGTAGCTTGCATGTTAGCGAGCTGAACCAACCAGTCCAGCTCGCCAATAGGCGAACTGGCCATCCCTGACCAGCTCGCCTATTGGCGGGCTGAACCATCCAGTCCAGCTTGCCAACTGGCGACCTGGCCAGCCCTGACCAGCTCGCCTGTTGGCGAGCTGAACCATCCAGTCCAGCTCGCCAACCGGAAACTGGCCAGCCCTGACCAGCTAGGCTGTTGGCGAGCTGGCCAGCCTTGACCGGCTTGCCTTTTGGCGAGCTGAACCGTCCAGTCCAGCTCGCCAAGACGCGAGCTGGCCAGCCTTGACCAGCTTGCTTGTTGGCGAGCTGAACCGTCTCGTCCAGCTTGCCAAGACGCGAGCTGGCCGTGCTTGACTAGCTCACCTGTTGGCGAGCTGAACTAAACCATACGTGCTCCTCGACTCGATCTTACTCTGAACCGTGATCGTAACATATCTCATTTCGCCGCGATCCGTCTTACCGTCTGAGTTTTACGACAAAAACCGTAAAAACTCAGTTTTCTCGTAAAACCTCGAGTAAATCGTATAAAATGGCAACGGTTAAACGAAACAACGAACATTGCCAAACTATATGATTAACTTGAGATATTTTATAAAAAACCGCTAAAGACTTGTTTTCTCGCAAAACCTCGAGTAAATCGTACAAAACGGCAACGGTTAAACAAAACACCGAACATTTCCAAACTTTACGATTCACTTGATATGTTTTATAAAGACGGCATCGTATTAGGAAACGATCTCATCTAAAGTCGTAAAACGGCTAAATCACAGAACGGCTCGGAAAGACCTAAAACGTGATAAAAGTACATTCACGACTTTAGACAAGATCCAGCCCAAAGATATGTTGACGGTTTACTCATTACTCGCAGGAGTAGGAAAATATAAAGTTTGAAGATAAAATAGAAGTTTTCCGAAGAAAAATGGAAAGATCGAGAAAAACGGAAGATTTCCTGTAAGCGCGAATCAGAGCGAAAAGAGAAAGACCAACCGCCTAGAGAAGGAGTATATAAGCAGGAGGTCGAGGACAAGAACAAAAAAGACGAATTTCAGAGCTCTCATCACACAGAAAAACTTAACATTTTGGCAACTTTTCGTTTTTGTTATCGAGCTGTGTCTCAACTAGGGTTTAGTTCTAGGCTGCTAGAACTTGGAAAGTGGCCCTCAGCTCTTATAGCCAAGGCATACCTCGTTATACCGTTCTTACACAAAATCGGAATAAGAAACCTCTTTGCTCTCTTTTCGATTCTCGTTTTATTTTATCATCTTTATCGTATTTTGATTGCTTGCGCGTGTTTAAGCAGATAGCCGGGACCTCTGGGAAATTAGGGTTTTCTCTAAGTTCCTTTATTCACGGAAATTGACAGTGTAAATTTCGCTTCCCATACTGCTTGTCTTTGAGTTTTACTTTGGACCCTGGGTTTTAGCAGTGAAATGTTGTAAGAGTGTTGGCCCATTCGCATGTTCCTTAGTCCCTTCGAGATCCTTATGCGCCTGAGGGATATTCCCATTCCGGCGAGTGTTTTACTTACTTGATCTCTTCGACTCGTCTCCCAATCTCTACCGACGAAACGCCTTTTCTTCAAGTAACGTGTTTTGCATTCTCCTATATATAGAGGTGTTAGACTTTAGTAGTTGTTTTGATTCCATGTTTCATGCAATACTAACATGTTGGATGTTTTGTCTCTACGTGTGTGTGTTTTCAGGAACCTTAGACTCCATTTTGGTGAGTGATGTGTACTTTGTATTCGTATGCGTATTTGTCAATGAAATTCTGATCCTTTTTCATGTTTAGTGTTGGAGTAACTCGAGGCAACACTCAACGCAAATGCTTGACGAGGTTTGGAGGCAGCCACAAATCTATGGCATGAATGGAGTTTGTTTCTTTTTTTTTTGACGTATAATGATGCGGTTTATGAACTATAGGGTTCTCAAGGATAAAGGAGTCTACATCCTGGTAAAATATTCTATATGATTATGTTTTTTTTATGCATCATATTGATTTCTTTTAAGATAAGTTGTGTGCCAGATTACATGTGGAGCTCCAAATTTCCGGCTTCGGCTGTTTAAAGAATCATCATGCTCTTGGACAACGAAACTCCATGTGATAGGTGAGCTTGCAATACATAAAGCCGTCAAGTTCATTTGTGTTTTGTAATAATACTTGTGGATAAAGTTTACATGTTCTTTGCTGTTTCTGCAGATAAAAATTTGACCGAACAACCATTAGAAAACACAAAGTGGGAACTGAGAAAACCCATTCCTCTAGATGATGAAGGAAATTTAGTGGAATCTGCAATTGGCAAAAGCCCTGATGTCCACAACATCTATGTTTGTATTAAGGTGTGTAGCTTGCTAAGATGATGTTTCTATGTTTTGTTCATTTGAAAAATTGTCTTACATCTAGATGAGGCGTGGAAGACGGAGACAGACGCAGCCTGAAATCATGAGAATCTTTTTGTGCTCTTTGCTTTGAACATATAGGTCCCTACAAGGACTGAGTTTTGTCTTTGTTGTATTTATTATGTGCAAGAGTGAAGACACGATTCTGATATCTTGGGTTTGGGTTCATGTTTACTCCATAATTGAGTAGGAAAAGAAAGGTTTTTTTTTTAGTAATGTGAAATGGTGGTCAAGTAAAGATTGAGTTCTTCACATGCAATAGACAATACATCGCGTTTGAAGTACTTCTGAAAATGGAAGATAGAATCTGTAAGCTAAGAAAAAAAAGCATCATATGATAAGAAAAGATATAAAGAGATACACATCATACAAAAATTTAATTCAGAGTTGGTTCTTGCTGAAAATAAGTTGTAGATTGTTTTATCTACAAAATCGTATGATATTTTTGATACACACTGTCTTAGATTATATGCTCTGAGTCATTTTTTATGTCGTCAAATCCAGTTGTCGTTTGTGCAGGTGCTAAATGTATTTAATTTTTAAAATACCAGATTATATATATTTATTTTTCTGATTATATATATATATATATATATATATATTAAAATGTTGCGATAAAAATATTTGTAGAAATTGAAAGTTTCGTACCTTGCCGAAGTTCGTCATGGTTGAGACTTCGATACACAATAACGACAAATAAGATGATTGATTATGAATTAAAGAAGCTAAAGTGAAAAACGCCACACGTAAAGTTAGATATTTGGTTTAGTCAAATATTAACTTTTTTATATAGTTTTCATATCAGACTAAGAACTAGAAACAAAATAAAATTTGGTAGAAAAAAATCAGAAAGCAGAAAAGCTTTTAAAAGAAATAAAATCACAAAATCGATTAAAAACTTAATTCACATACCAAGTGAAGATGTCACTTTATAATATATACTATTTTTATTGTTTACTAGTACAATTTGATTTTCTTCGTATGAAAAAATGTTATTAATTTCTAGGTTTGTTTTATTTTTACTTAATTTTATTTAATAATTTACTATCATTGGTTATTTTGAACAAAAATGTTTTAAATATTAATTAATGGTATATTCATATATTTATCATCACATTTATATACTTTTACATATACATACATGTATACATTGACATGAACGACTATACAACTAAATATTCATCACAACTGAGAATTTTAATTCTTATTGAAGTTGAATTTTTTTTTAATGTTTTCTTTCACTATCGCTCAAATTGTAGGGAAATGTTTTTTGTTAATAATTTTTTTTTTTTTCAAATATTATTTAGATTTTATTTGATTTTACATATCTTTAGAAATTATAATAGGTAACTATTAGTTCGACATAAAAAATGTCTAAAATTTATATAAAATGAAACCAAACAAATAACAATAGTTTTTGGTTGTCATCAAACCTTTAAACCAAACAAACCAAAATAAATATAGATTTAGAATGATAGTTATATGTTAGGAAATAAAAAAAAAATAATGTAAAACCGAACCAATATTCAAGCTAAACAGACATAATATCATTTTATCTTAAAACTAACTAAAGTAATAATCTCATTCTGCGGCGCAAGGCGCAAGTTATTACCTAGTTAATTATTATTAGCTCGCTTTTTTAAATGTATGGCTCAATGATGGTCAAAGTAAACAAAGAGAAAGAGAAAGAAACAAAGGAGGTACCAAGCTGTTTTGAACCCTGGAGCCCAAGTGGAAAGGGTACAGTCATAACCAATTCTTAAAATCTCATAACCTAAAAAAAAATACTGAATTACAAAATTGTTTATAATGTGTTGGGCTGCATACCGTCTTGCTCTTCTCACAAACACTACGCTAAGCTCTATAACGTTTTCTTTTTCTCTTATAGAAACCCTCTTTTCAGACAAACAAAAACTACGAGTCTAGGATTAGACTCTAATACGACTAATCCTATATATGGCAATCCTTTTGATTTTCTAAATTTAAGTTTAAAGTTCTGAGGTTTTCAAGAGATTTATAGATTGTTTTAGAATTAGACTTCAGTAAATCTAGGTAAGTATTTTTATTGTTAATTGCCAGTTTACTTTTTTTTTTGTAAATATTTTGAGCCTGAGAATTAAGGTAATCTGTTATTAAGTGAGCACAAAAAAAATCAAAGTCCAAAACTTACAAATTCTTTTGATTTTATAAATAATGGATTTGATTTGAGGAATCGGATGTTTAGGAGTACGACGAAGGTGCAAAAAGAGAACAATTACACCAAATTTTTTTTGCTACCTATGTTATTTTCCGTTAAAACCAACCACGGTTGAGTTTGTTAGATCTGTGACTAGCATCTGAACATGATACAAATATAATATTCCAATTTTGTTACTAAATCATTGTTAGAACATACGTACATAGGATGTAAAAATGTCTTAAATTTAGGTTTGGATGCAATACCAAACAACAGAATTGCATTTTCGACATGGCAGTCAGGCAGTGTATGTAAGTGACAACACAACATCATGTACACAAAATAATCCTATACAGCAACAATGTCTCCGGCCCCGCGCTTGCGCGGGTCTATGCTCCTAGTAATATTAATGAGATTGGACGAGGAAGTACAACATCTAGCTATTTGAAGAATAACACGAAATAATTAACTGAATTCGACAACAAAAAAATTTCAAAAGGAAAAGAGAGATATATGTTGCATGAAGATGATAGCCCTGTTCGTTTACGAAACCCGTTGCGTCAACGACGACGATCAAAAATGTAAAGGAAATTTAGTGACAGCTCATCAATTACATTTAGAAGATGCAATCATAGAACGCAGCGACACATCACGGTATGAGTGGGAGACGCAGTTATTTTCAGCGGCGATGAAAATACAGCAGCCATGACTAATGACAGTAGCCGGCGACAACTAGATAACAACACACGGATAAGATTTCGCTAACTCGTTTGTTAGTTTTTGATCGCTGCTTCTTATGCTGCGTCAAAGAAACAAACAGGGCTGATGAATTAGCTGCACAAACTACTTCACTAGTGTTTTTCTGACAGTTGATATTTTTGAACAAACTACATTGATAATTTGAAAATTTGATCATTCATGATAATCCACATTTTTAATTTTGAAATCTATATCCTTGATTGTAATAAGACCTATTTGATTGATTTTAAAATCAATGGATTTGTCAAAATTTCTAAAATCCATAAAAAACCAAGAACCAACCCCCACTAAAACAATCCAATCAAAATAACAAGGTTCAACTTAATATTTATTTTTTATGTATTTTACTCTTAAAAGTACCTACAAATCCAATCAAAATCAATTTCAAAGCAAATCCTTACACAAATATTTATTATTGAATAACACTTGATTCTAGATTCTATTTTAAAACCATAGAACCTGTAACTATGTATGTGAATATGAATTTTAAAATGATAGAACCAATTACACTAAATTTTGTTTGGATTTTAAAATTTCATTAAAATGCACAAACCAATAACATCCTCAGACATTTTGTGTCCAGAAAATATATGATGTGTTGGAAATAGATTTGCTCTGTATCCAGTTTGCCTACACATACGACATTTCGATCTAGCTGCTGGAGAACTAGATAAACTTGCACAAGTATAGTTACTACTTACTAACCACTTCCGCAGAAATGTAGACAAATAGAAGGTTTACACTTTAAAATATTTCGTATCACAGTTTGCAATCTTCTGTGACAGTTTTCAGTTTTAATAGATTCATGCGCTCAGATTGTGTTTAATAAAAGTTTTGCTCCATTGAACTTTTTTCTTTTCACTTGTTTTTTATCTAAATTTATCTAAGTAAAGAAGAGAAGAGAGGAATTGATATGTACTCTCCACTTGTTTATACAATCAGTCACCACCTCCGGCAGCGCCTCGAAAGCCTAGAAAACAAGCAGAAGACTTAATTAAAATATGGGTTCTTCGTCAATAAAAGCTCGCAATAAACGTGGGGAATGAGGGAGGATTTATGTGGGAACCGAAATTCACACGGTCAATTTTCCATCAAATATGAAAACTTAGAGAAAGCCCTAATTTTTCCGAGGTTCTAGATCTCTGTGGAAACACATTTAAAACAAAAAATATAAGAGAATACATATGAAGAGTTTGCCCAAAGGCTATTATTAATAAAGATATTGAAATCTGTTACAAAGAGAATAGCGGAACTTAGACAACCAAACGTTCTAAGAATCCGACTTACTAGTCTAGCCACCTAAGTCCTAAATTCACCTAAGCTAACATCAGTCTTTCTAGTTCTAAAATTCTATGTCTCCTCTTGATTTCGACCTCATGCTTATATACTCGTTCTGTAGGTGGTTGGTCTTTCCTTTTCCGCTGCGGTTCGCTTTCGTCGGAAATCTTCCAATTTTCTCGATCTTTCCATTTTTCTTTGGAAAACTTATATTTTCTTCGTAAAACTTGACTTTTACCCAATCCTGCGAGTAATGAGTAAACCGTTATCGTATCTTTGCGCTGGATCTTGTCTAAAGTTGCGAGTGGGCTTTTATCACATTTTAGGACTTTCCGAGCCGTTTTGCGATTTAGTCTTTTTAAGAGATTAGAGGAGATCGTTTCTTGATACGATGTCGTTTTTTAATAAACATCTCGAGTTAATCGTATAGTCTGGCAATGTTCGGTGTTCCGTTTAACCATTTCCACTTTATACGATTTACTCAAAGTTTTCCGAGAAAACAAGTCTTTAGCGGTTTTATAACAAATCTTGAGTTAATCGTATAGTTTGGCCATGTTTGGTGTTTTGTTTAACCGTTGCCGTTTTATACAACTTACTCGAGGTTTTACGTGAAAACACGTCTTTTACGGTTTTTTATAAAAAATCTTGAGTTAATCGTATTTTTTGGCAATGTTCGGTGTTTCGTTTAACTGTTGCCATTTCATACGATTTAATCTAGGTTTTACTAGAAAACACGTCTTTTATGGTTTTTATCGTAAAACTCGAACGATAAGGCGGATCGAGACGAAAGGGAGATGCTACGATCACAGTTCAGAGTACGATCAAATCAAGGGGCGTGGATGGCTTATTTCAGCTCCCCA